AAAAAAACCCATAGGGGAATGTACAGCAATAAACACACACGTTAAAAAGAAGAGAAGGTCCAAATCAACACCTTATCCCTGCATCTTCAACAATTAGAACAAGTGCAGAAAAAAAACCCTTCTGTAACCAGGAGAAAAGTCATAAAGATTAGAACAACAATAAATGAATCAGAAAACATTAAAAACAATAGGGGAAAAATCAACAATACAAGAAGTTGGTTCTCTAGGTGAATTAACAAAATTTATTAACCATTTGCAATTTTAACAAAGGAAAAGAAGAGAAGATGCAAAGATAAAGAATAATAAATGAGAGGAAAGATATCACAATAAAACCAAATGAAAGTTTAAAAAGATAATAACATCATACCACAAAAGACCATACTCCAACAAATTAGAAAACTTAGATAAAATGGACAAATTTCTAGAAACACTATCTACTCAAATTAATACAATTTGATGTAAAAAACCTCAAAAGATCAATAACAAGAGAATAAATACAGCAGGTCATTAAAAAAAGAAGTAAAACTCACTTTATTTTCAGATTATATGATTCTGTACATAGAATATTCCAAAGAATGACAAAAACTGTTGTAAAGAATTGAAAGATTTGGCAGTGTGGTAATACACAAGATCAACTACAAAAATCAATTGTGTTCCTGTAGACAAAGGAAGAAAGCTCTGAAAAATAAATCAAGAGAACAGTATCATTACAATACCCTCACAAAACTGAAATACTTGGGAATCAATCTAACCAGAGAAACAAAAGCTTTGTACAAAGAAAACGACCAAAAAGTACTACAATAAATGACAAGAGAACAGAAAAATGTTTCCATGTTCATAGATGTTGTTGTTAGGTACTATCAAGTTGGGTCTGATTCATAGAAACCCTATAAAAAAACAGAGTAAAAAGAGAACTCATAGACTGGGGGGATAAGTTAGCAATAATACCTTGGAAAGGGATTGACCTCTAAAATCTACAGAATGTGTCAACAAGACAAATATAGATAAGCTAATTGAAAAATGGGCAAAGAACATGAACAGACAGTTCATCAAAGAAGACATCCCGAATGCCAACAAACATAGGAGGGAATGCTCCCAAGCCCTAGCCAGTGGAAACCAGCAAATCAAAACAGTGATGAGGTGCCACCTTCTGCTAGGATTTCCAGGTGAAAATGACACACAGTGAAGGTGTGGAGATATTGAAGCCTTCATGCATTTCATTGCTGGTGGGACTATGAAAATGTTCAACCACTGTGGAAAGTGATATGCCTCAAACAACTTGGAAGAGACATTCCATATAACCCTGTGAGGTGGTTAGTTTATTGCGACAACATGGCCGATAAACCACATGTGGGGTTAATTGAAGGGCAGAGGGATAAATGGTTCAGTGAGCCTCGCCTTTCTAGTTCTCAGGTCTCTTGCTTTCTGATGGTCGGACCAGGGTGCAGCTGCCTTAGCCAGTTCCCTGCTTTAGGGAAGGGTCACTTCTTGCAAGACATCCCCGAGGAGAAGCCGCATGGACCTACCCCGATGCAGTCCTGGGTGGAGACCCCTGCCAGCGCTGAGAAGTTTACACATTCACTGACTCAGCTTTCCTCCTGCAGTCGGCATCATAGTGTGTGTCTGTGAGATGGAGGAGGACTTTGTGGACTGGTGTTGGACATATGGGTTAATGTTGGACTTGTGGGCTTGGGCAGCACTGGGTTGGGATGGTTTTTGATGTGCACTTAACCTTTATATAAAATTCTCTCTTATATATGAGTTTCTTTGGATTTGTTTCTCTAATGCATCCACACTAATACACCCTGAAATTCCTTTTCTGGGTATGTACCCTAAGAAGGTAAGAGCCATACATAAACAGTCATATGAACACCCATGTTCATTGCAGTACTGTTCACAGTAGCAAGAATATGTAAGCATCCTAACAAAGCACACACACACACACACACACACACACACACACACACAACAGAAGACAAAAGAGATGTCCTAAAACTAAGACACTTATGTGCATTAAAATACTTCATCAAAAGAATAAAAATATAAGTCACAGACTGGGTAAATGTTTGGCAATGATCTATCAGACAAGGCACAAATATCTAAAATCTCTAGAAAGCACAACACGTCAACAAGAAAAAGACAAATAATTGAATTCTAAAATGGACAGAGGACATGAGTAGACAGGCCACCAAAGAAGACATTCAGGCAGCCAACAAGCATGCTTGTGATTAATAGCACTTTGCGGTTTGACAATTGTGAATCAAACAGTGATGAGACAACAGCTCACACTGACAAATACAGTAAAGTTAAAAAATAAAAACCCAGAAGAGAGTGCTGGAGAGGGTGCAGAGGTTGGAGCCCTCAGACACGGTGGCAGCACTGTACAACTACACAGCCACGTGGAAAGTAGCATGGCATTTCCTCACACAACTGGGGATAGAAATTCCACAGCCCCCTGCCATTGTTCTAGTCAGTCTATGCGCTCAAGAAATAATGGACAAACTGCCAGTGTATCTCTGCATACCAAGGTCAATGCAGCTTTATTCATAATAGAAATGAAAAAACCTGAAAGTTCATCATTGGAAGATAGATACAAAGTTACAGCAACATAATCTTTGGGACATAGATTAATGGAATGCTAGACACTGGGAAAGAAGGAATTATGAACTGTGAAGCACCTCATGACATGGATGGGCTTTGGAGGACATTACGCTGAGTGAAGTTAGTCAATCACACAGAGATAAATATTGTATGCGATCATTATTATAAAAGAAAAACATTCAAGATACAGATTTTGAGACCAAAAGAAATAGACTTTGATGGCTACCCGTGGTGGGAGGGAAAGAAAGAAAGGAAAATGTTAATTTGGGTGAAGATGGAGGAAATATCCTATAAGTGCGAGAATTAAATTAAAATAAAAAAAGAAGAGGGTAGAAGGTAAGCAATTGGGAAATTTGATAAGTTGTTGAAGTTGAATACAAGCATGATTGCCTGAAATGCAAACCTCCATGTAACACACACAACAATATTAACGAATAAACTGATATTTTCCTCTGTATCATACTTAAATTCTTTTCGACATTCAGTGAAATTTCTTAGATGATGTTACAGTTCTATTTTATTTATTTATTTAAACTTCACACTCAAAATATATTTCAGTAGCAAACCATTTTGCGTGCTCTAAATAGTTTCATTAGGTACAAAGCAAACAAATGTATAAATTGTTTAAAGTAAGAGGCCTATACAAAACTTACTGACTCATGGGGATCCTATAGAACAGAATAGAATTGCCACTGTCGCTGTGGGTTTCCAAGAGGTGATCAGAAAGCTCCTCTTTTTGCCATGGAGCAGCTGGTGGATTCAAACTGTTGACTTTGTGGTTAACATAACACAGTAAGCCACCAGGGATCTTTAGAGGCCCATGTAGTAAGGGATGTGAAGGAAACAAGGAGCCCTGGTGGTGCAGTGGTTATGTATGGGGTGAGCAGTTTTCTCCCTTAGCAAGAAGATGGCTTTCTACTCTGTAAAGAGTTAGTCTTCCACACTC